GGGGTTAGGGGGAAAGGGGTCTATGGGTGCCGGGGGTTGGGTGAGGAAGGGTGTTGGTTGTGAAAAATTGAATAACGAAGGCCTGCCGTAGGGTCTGTTTTTTTTTTTTTTTTTTTTTTTTCAAGACGGGTGAACCGCCATGAGCGGCAATGCAAGAGGGGTTAGGGGGAGAGGGGTCTATGGGTGCGGCAACGAAGGCCTGCCGTAGGGTCTGTTTTTTTTTTTTTTTCTTTCTTCTTTTCTTCAAGACGGGTGAACCGCAATGAGTGGCAATGCAACGGGGGTTAGGGGGAAAGGGGTCTATGGGTGCCGGGGGTTGGGTGAAGAAGGGTGTTGGTTATGAAAAATTGAAATGCGGTAGGGTCTGTTTCTTTTTTTTTCCTTTCTTTCTTCAAGACGGGTGAACCGCCATGAGCGACAATGCAAAGGGGGTTAGGGGGAAAGGGGTCTATGGGTGCGGAAACGAAGGTCCGCCGTAGGGTCTGTTTTTTTTTGTTTTTTTTTCCCCTTCAAGACGGGTGAATCGCCATGAGGGGCAACAATCCGCTGCTTATCCGTGCTTACTGCCCCCTCCTTCGCTAACACGACGTCCTACACCTGACTTTCCTTCGGCACTTGTTGGAGAGGCCGGTGCAACGGTCCCTGAGGGGGCGGGCACAGTCCTGCTCGACGGGCCTGTTCAGGTTTCGGATTAGTCACCCACGCCTGCACCCGTGAACGCCCCGACCTTGTAGCACGGTGTTTTTGGGACATTGGATCCTTTACAAAATTTGTGCAATATTGCAGTTCCGAGTCCAGGCCCTACCGCATCACCTGCGGCCAGTGGCGGGGTGTGGGATTCGCTAGGTTGCGTCACCGGTGCACGAGTTAGGGGCAGTTTCAGGCAGCAGGCGATAACCTCGTATTAAAATGACCCACTGGAGCATGCATGGCACCTGCAGATCATGCGATTCATTGTTGAGAGCGGCATGTCGTTCAACTGCATGAAGCTTGAGAGCTTCAAACGCATGTTGACGGTGATCATCCGACCTGGAGTTCCCAGAGTGCCCACCCGAAAACCCCAAACGTATCACATGATTCGTACCACACTTTTGGATGAGCTTGATGTCGAAGTCCAAAAGTGTGTGAAACCTGTCCTCGCTACTTCGGCTAACTTCGGTTGCACGATCATGACAGACGGATGGACTAACATTCGGGGTCAGACGTTGTGCAACTACCTCGTCGGGACTACGAGGGGCGCCACATATGTCACGACAGATGTCATGCGAGGAAAGAAGGATGCCACTGCTCTGGCGCAGGCTTGGCTGAGAAGGTTGAAGTCCCTAGACATCAAGCTCGTAGACATCACCGCTTTCGTCACAGACTCGGCCAGTTCGAACGTTTCTGCGATGGAGGTGTTCCAGAAGGATAAGAGTGTGAAGCACATCTCCTTGATTTCTTGTGTGGCGCATTTCATGGACCTCATCCTTGAGGACATCGGCGGCATTGAGTGGGTGGCGACGCGCATTGCTCAGGCGCGGGTGGTCACAAAGTTTTTCAAGCGCCATAGTCATGCTCGCAAGGTTTTGCAAGCTTTCATGACGATGGCACTGTTGCTTCCCGCTAAATTCGCTTCGGCACGCGTGTCATTATGATGCAGTGACTTCTTCATCTGCAAGCGCATCTTATGCAGATGGTCATTGATGATCGATGGAAGGACACTGTTTGGTCAATGAAGAAGATTCGAGATGACGCCAAGGAGGTCATAGCATGTGTCGGTTGTCCTCAGTGGTGGGAGGATATGAAAGCGGTGTGCAAGTTGTTGGATCCCATCATGGACATGCTGCAGATGGTGGACAGTGACACGAGGCAATTTGGCAAGATTTTGCAACAGTACGACGAGATGATCGTGCGTTGTTTGTCTGCATGTGCTGCTTTTGACAAGGAGGAGCAGGATGCGGTGCTCGAAGTCTTTGACCGACGCCGAACCATGTTCAAGTCGTCGACTCATGTGGCTGTCATGATCTTGGATCCAGAGTTTCGAGATCACACGCTGCCAGATGACGACGAGATGCAGCACGATTTGAAAGTTGCTCTGGTTCAGTTCGGGTACCCAGAGGACTCGGACCAGCACAACAAGATCCTGACGTCCATCGACAAGTTTCATGCTAGGGAACCGCCATTTGACGACGTGGGTATGGATCGGGCACAAACAGTTGAAGAACAAGCAGAGATAGACCGCCGCCTGGCAGAAAAGAAGAAAGAGAAGGAGGAAAAGAAAAGGAAGGAGGAGGAAGTGAAGGAGTTACTAGAAGAAAAAGAAAAGATGGAGAAGGAGAGGAAGTTAATGGAAGAATTGAAAGAAGAAGAAGAAGAAGAAGAAGAAGAAGAAGAAGAAGAAGAAGAAGAGGGGGGAAAGTTGGAAAGAAGGAGAATCCAGTCGAAAGAAGAAGGGGCTGAGAGCAGTCAGGCAGGGGCGATTCGTATGCGACAACTGGAGGCATTGAACTGGATGGAGCAGTTCAGTTATCGGACTGAGTTCCCGGAAGAGACAGAGGAGGAGAAAAATGCCTTTATCATAAGGCTGGCCTCAACGGACGAGGCAGAGAAGAATTTACTGTTGGAGGAGAAGAAAGCAGAATTAAATAATAAGATGGTGGCGGCAAAAAAACAGTAGAAAAGAAAAAGTTGAAAGACGAGGCGGAAAGGTTGGAGAAGCTGCTGCAGCAACAAAAAGGAAAGCAAGCTGCCACATATGAACGACTMTCCCTCCTAACAGATACTATCCTCCATACTAACAATGAACTTGCTGCACTCCACCGAACTGTTAATCGAATAGAGTTGCACCAAGGGGAATTCGAAGGCGTCTGAAATAACTTCCTGAGCAGTGCCTCATAACAAATTGATCATTGCATATTTGAGTATGTTGACCAATTAGATAAAGCCCTCTGGAAAAGGTTAACCGACCCTGTCGTAGTAAGGAAACTAAAGATTGGAGGCAGGGAAGGAGATGGAGGTGATGATGGTGATGATGGGGACAAAAAAGGAAAGAGTCCAAGAAGAAGGACAACGAAACGGAGGAGTCCAGGCAAAAGATGAAGGTGAATCTGCCTTGGACTTATACGGGGAAGAAAGAAGAGAGTATATTTCATTGTGAAGTTGCAATGGATACCTACTTGTACGCGCAGAAGATCCTGTATTGGGACCGCGTGCATGGCTAGTTTGTGTTTAGCGGGTGATGCGATGAGTTTCGCCATCTCCTTGATGAAGGAGAGTGGCTGCACAACCATGGTCCTATATTCACAACAGACACGGATCGAGGACTTCTTTAGAGCCCTTGAGAAAGAATCGAAGATAAGAATCTGGCCCGCAGGACCGAGTCTTTGATCGTAAACATTGGCGATCGTGAGTGGAAGACTGCGTCAGCGCTCAAAGCCACTATGGATGAACTCTTGCAGTGTCCGGGTCATGGACTGACACCCACACAGATTTTGAACAATTTTGCCAGAGCACTCCCGGATCCATTGAGAACCCAACTTTATCCCCACACTAAAGAAGAAGGAATGACTTACGAAAAGTTCAGCAAGATCGCAGTTGATCATGTTGGCTTTCTGCAAGAAGCACAATACTGTCATTATTGGAAAGATCTCCAGGCAAGGAAGAAATGGAGAGATCGCGCGATCTCAGGGAACATAGCTGGGAAAGATAATCTCCTTTTCACTTTCGAAGAAGGAGGGGTAAAATCCCTTACCTACGATCAGATATATTACGGTTTAGAAGAAGACAACAATACTCACTTAGCCCAGGGAGGGGATTATGTGGCTGTTGCAGCCCGCGGAGGAGGGCGACAAGGAGGAAGAGGTCGTGGAAGAGGAAGAGGAGGTCGTGGCCGAGGTGGAGGAAGAGGACCCGCCGCCCAGAGGGGTAGTGGCGAAGGTAGCTACTATAAGGGCAATATGGGTAATGGTCCCTCGCAAGGTGGAAGAGGTTCCAACTCCACTGGGGGTAGAGGAAGAGGATACAATAAMTGGCAGCCAGATCCACCCCATCTCAAGATCGTCGTAGGCAAACCTWGGGAACAAATGGGGATTGATGAGAAAACTTGGGATGAGCGTAAGGCAGTCGGCCAGTGCTTCAAATGTGGTGACCCCGACCACATTGTTCCCTTCTGTCCCGAATATCGGTACCCAAAAAGGAACAACCAGTAGAGGTAGCAGTTGCCTCTACAGGGACTCTAGATGCAAGCAGACTGTCATCCTCCCATCTAGAGGTYCCAATGGTAGAGACTGAGACGCTAAAAGGCCCCCACCTAGTTAGCTGCCCAGAGGTTGCTTGTGTTAGGACTTCTCTAGGTGGTTCCCTCGCAAGCATAGGTGATGAACTGATCACTCGTCGCCACACTTGGTCCGAAATGAAGAAAAAAAAAAAGCAGTTGTTCATTGCAGACGTAGAAGTTAGTAGAGTAAGAGTGGGCGCGTTAATAGATAGCGGATCAACGAGCAATTATATTAGCAAGAAAGGGCTACAAAAGATGCGCCTAGGGCTGAAGGTCCAGAAGTTAGACCAGCCCGTTGTAAGTAAGYTAGCGGATAAYAGAGAAATGGTAGTAGATAGCAATGTTGAAGGGGTTAGGGCATACTTTCGGTTGGAGGCAGGGGGTAAGGTGGAACATGTTCTGCACGCCCTGACACTCTTAGTGGAGGACAGTCTCCCTTTTGACATGATACTAGGAACTGATTGGGGTGAGGCCGCCGATGCAGATGTGAAACTGGRYGAGCATGGATGTTGTTTGCCTAGCCCTGCAGGTGGAAAAAAAAAAAAAATCGACTTTACCATGCATCTGGCATAGAGAATAGCCTATCCCTTTGYTGCATGAGTGCCCCCGCGTTCGCCCGACATGTAGTCAAGAACGACCTCRCCGACCAAGTGTTTGTTACGTATGTGCGCCCGGTGAGTGAAAGTAAGAAAGAGGAAGAAYCATTCCCTCCAATGTACAAAAACTGCTTATTGAGTTCGCAGATGTGGGAGAGGCCCCAAGTGGAGTGGTTGAGAGAGAAACCAAGCACCGGATAGAGTTAGAACCGAGCAGCCGGATTCCCAAGGGCCCTATCTATAGGATGTCTCCAAAAGAGCTTGATGAACTGCGAAAACAATTGGATGAGTTGCTTGAGAAGGGGTGGATTAGACCAAGTTCCTCACTATTCGGTGCACCAGTCCTGTTTGTGCCAAAGAAGGGCGACAAACTGCATATGTGCATAAATTACCGGGGACTCAACGCAATAATTGTTAAGAATGTTGAGCCATTACCAAGGATAGATGATCTTTAGACCGAGTATAAGGTTGCARATATTTTTTGAAAATAGATTCGAAATCAGGCTACCATAAGATTGAGGTTTTGCCCGAGGATYARCATAAAACGGTTTTCCAGACCCGGTACGACCACTATGAGTTTGTGGTAATGCCATTCGGACTGACGAATGCTCCTGCAACCTTCCTGAGATGTATGAATGAGTTGTTTCGTGACTGGCTTGATAAGTTAGTTGTTGTTTATTTAGATGATATAATGATTTTTAGTAAGAATCTGAGTGAGCATGAAGAGCACCTTCGAATTGTGGTGAATAAGTCGTGAAAGGCGAAATTTAAGATTAATAGGAAGAAGTGTGAGTGGGCAAAGCATTAGGTTCTTTATTTGGAACATATGGTAGATGGTGATGGAATCAAGTCGGAAGACGTCAAGATTGCAGCCATTAGAGATTGGCCTAACCCACGCACGTTGACGGAACTGCGTTCGTTCCTTGGTCTGGCCAACTATTATCGCAAATTCGTTCGAAACTTTATAGTAATTGATGCCCCATTGCGCAGATTGTTGCAGAAAAGAAACTATTTGGAAATGGGATGAGAATTGTACTGCGTCCTTTAAGCGTTTAAAGAAATGTTTAATTAATTACCCAGTGTTGAAAGTCTCAGACCCATCTCTGCCTTTTGTCGTAACCACTAACGCTAGTCAATATGAGATCGGTGTTGTACTCCCGCAAGACGATGGGCATGGGTACAAACCTGTTGAATTTATGTCTTGTAGACTGCCTAGCGAAAAGGTCGCCGCTTCTACCTATGAGAGGGAGCTGTTCGCTCTGCAGGAAGYGTTGAATCACTAGCGACACTATCTTTTAGGTCGCCACTTCAAARTCTACTCAGATCATGAAACACTTTATTGGCTAAAAACGCAGGCTCGGATGACACYTAAACTGACTAGGTGGGCCGGGGAAAACGATTAGTTTGACTTTGAGTTGAAGCCAGTAAAAGGAAAGTACAATGTCGTCGTCGATGCATTAAGTAGAAAAGTTGATTTTTTCAGTGCTATCATTACATATCTAGATGCAAGCACCGAACTACAGGAAAATATGAAGTCTGCCTACGTGAGTGGTCCAATCTATAGCCAGCTAATTGGCAAGGTGCAGACAACACCACACGAAGTACCAGATTATAGGGTGACACAAGAACTGTTGTTTGAGAAGACCGACATCCATGATCGACTATGTGTCCCAAACAACGAGGAAATTCGTAGCATGATACTTAGGGAAAATTACGATGTTGAGGGGCATTTCGGATGGAGGAAGACTTATGCTAACCTCCTACGCTCCTACAAATGGTCGGGAATGAAGCATGAATGCATTTCCTATGCGCAAGGCTGTCCGATTTATCAGAGGAACAAGAGTTCCACACAACCTCCCCTTGGATTACTCAGACCCCTGCCGATTCTGTCGGGACTAGGGGACTCCGTGTCTATAGACTTTATGGACACTGAGATAAAGAGTAGAAATGGAAAAAGTCAGGTTATGGTGATAGTMGATCGGTTWAGCAAGTTTATTGTGTTCATTCCACTCCCTGGGGAAGCAAGAACTGATTTGGTAATTAGGGCATGTACCATTGGGTGGAGGATTCTGGGCATCCCTTGACTATTGTAAGTGACAARGATTCGCGGTTCACAGGTGAGCAATAACAGCAACTGATGAAGGTATACGGTTCCAAATTGACTATGTCTTCAGGTAGWCACCCTGAGACAAATGGACAGACCGAGCAGATGAACAAGCTGCTGCAGCAAGTACCACGCATGTACATTCGACCAAATCAGATTGACTGGGACGGACATYTGTCGAAGGTTGCAAGTGCCTATAACAACTCTCATCTAGCTWCATCTAAAACACTGACTGAACTGCATCTTGGATGGCGCCCTCGTAGACCCATTGACTGTCTAAACCCTGTTCAAGTGCAGAGACTCCCGCCAAGAACCAGGGAATTCGCTATTCAGTATCAGAAAAGATMTGGGAAAAGTTAAAGAGAATATTAGTAAAGCACAACATCAAATGATAGAACAAGCTAACAAGCACCGCAGACCCTCGCAATTTGCTATAGGAGATTTGGTCTGGGTAAAGTCAAAAGAGCTTCTCCMTGAGGAGAACATTTCCCAGAAGTTGTTACCTGCCTATAGAGGACTGTGGCAGATTCTTGATKTGATTGGTGATGTAGATGGTATTTCTTATGTTGTTGAAATTCTCCACACTTGCACACGTATCCGGTGTTTCATGCATCAAAGTTGCTTCCTTGCGTTAGTAATGAATTGTTTCCAACTCGCAGATTGATGATTCCCCCTGATATGGATGGAAATTATGATGTAGATCGGATTGTTGGGGAAGACGTTTACAGATCCGGGCGCAGGGGTAGACCACAACGACARTATAAGGTTAGGTTTGCCTATMAGGAACCTTCAGAAGATCGCTGGTTTACAAGAGATGAGCTAATTGAGACGRCACCGCATATTGTGTCCTATTATGAGAGAGCTAAGAGAGRAATTAACATTATCGACATATAACATTGGTAACCTTCTCGGAGGATCTCAAAATAAGGCCGGCGGGAGTGAAAGGCCTTCCACGATTCAGACCCCAAGTTCGAGTTTCAG